AGATCAGATGCATCAGGCTCGACAGCCATGACAGCGACATCATGATGGAGGCAGAAAGTGGCGTCCTGCAGCAGAGACGGTGAGTCACAAAGATGTGTGAGAGGTGTGTGTGAGAGGTGTGTGTGAGAGGTGTGTGTGACAGGTGTGTGTGAGAGGTGTGTGTGAGAGGTGTGTGTGAGAGGTGTGTGTGACAGGTGTGTGTGACAGGTGTGTGTGAGAGGTGTGTGTGACAGGTGTGTCAGATCTGGAGGCTCTCAGGTTGATCTGAATCCTTTCAGTTGTAAAAAAGACCATTTTTTCCTCAGAGAGTGACGAAGGCTCCATTTTCAACAAGAAATAATCTTCATCATCTTCAGAGTTCTGACTGCTGGATTTTTATTACATTTTTTTCCATTTATTGTCTCAATTATTCTTTTCTTTATTTGATCTTTTACTGTGGTGACATTTAATGTCATGTTATTTGTTGTGTTTTAAATGTGTTGATTTGAATGTTCAGCACTTTGTGACTGTGTTTTGAAAGTTGCTTTATAAATAAAGTTTATTATTATTATTACGTTTAATATAATAAGATGACTTCAGACACTTGTTACTGCAGAGACACTCACACACACCTCCACCTGCTCTCACACTCACACACATTGTTCATCTTTCACTCTGACGTTGGTGTGGATTCTTCTTCGTTGGTGTCGTTCACACTTTATTGTCTCAGCAGAGAAACCAGAGACTGAACATTAAAACTCACCATGGTGTGTTTCCCCACAGAGGGAGGACCGAGCAGCAGCACCCTGGGGACTGATGGACAGACAGACAGACAGACAGACACACAGACACACAGACACACAGACATCAGGGGGTTCAGTAAATATAATAATCAATACAGAACACTGTGACATCAGTGATCAAATATTTGAGACCAGATGTTTTGATGTTTTATCAAGCTGAGCTCAGGTCAGTCTGCAGAGTCACAGCTCCACCTAGTGGCTGCACAGAGCATCAGGCTTTAAACCTTAAAGGGACATTTCACCTCTTCACTCAGAGACACCAGGGCTGTGTCTGAAACCATTCACTCATTCACTCATTCACTCCTCACTGTACAGGGAGGTGTGTGTAGGTATCAACCTGTCCTACTGATGATGTCATTCTCTGTTGTTGTGTTGAGTGTTTTACCGTCAGTCACGTGACGACTGGTCAAACTAATGTATGACGTCCTGCATCACACCGTTACAGCACACATCAGAGCTAGCATGGACCCAGCATGCTAACATTAGCTTAGCATTAGCAGCCTCCTCTGTACAGTAACTGTGACGTGACTAAAGATCAGCTGCTGATTTATTTCTGTCTCCATGACAACACACTAAACTGACACGTTATTACAGGACAGGTGAGTGTTGTACACTGCTATCATGGTGCATTGTGGGATACTGTGAGTCCCATATACAGGGTGTAATAACTCCCACTGTACAGTCAGACAGAACTACAACATGGCGGACTCAGTGTGTGTGGAGGACTACAGAGTGAGCAGTGAGTGATTTCAGACTCCGCCCCCGACCCTGATCCTCTGAGCTGCCACCTGAATAATCTGGAGACGTTCAGAGCTCAGACTTGGTGTTCTTGTTCTTTACTGGGCGCCAACAGTTTGACACGTTCCTGTCCAGACGACCTGCTCAGAACATGTCACAGTTTCTACACTATCACAGTGTGACATCATCACAGCACGACTGCAGTGGGACTCGAACGCAACAGGAACAGGTCCATTTCTGAAAGATGAAATTAAGTTACTTCCTGTCACACAAACACAGAAGGTGTGTGCTTGGTGTCGTGTTGGTTGTTAGTTCAAGTCTTTTGTGGTGTGTTCAGGTGCAACTGGTGGTGGTGACACTGAAGGTACCTTCACTGTCGCTAGGTGTCTGAAGTCAGTTTGGTGTCTGGGTCTTAAAAAATCTGCCAGGAGGAGGAGGTGGTGAGGAGCTGTTTGCTTACAGTGCCACAGATGAACACAGTGCACGACCTGATAACTGTCAGTGTTCACACCACCTGTGTGATGTCACCGTTCACAGGTGAGAACTCACCGTCCACGCTGCTCCTCTGCAGGACACTGATCAGGTAATTGATCGGATCTTCAGGCTGATCGATCAGCAGGCGGGTCAGCATGCTCTGAAACACACACACACACACACACACACACACACACACACGTTGTGGTCCACCTGACTTGTATCTGTGGCTTTAAACTGCAGACTGCTCCTTTAATACCTGCACCAGGTGGAAGATGTTGTGTTTGTCGGCATAGATGGAGATCTGAGGAGGAACTCTCAGAGGCTTCACTGTCTCATCCATCAGGAGGAGGAGGAGGAGGAGGAGGACTGGGGTCTGACAGCTGTGAATCTGATGGTTGTTTTTACCTAAGGACCATGAACACATCACAGTGAGAGACTGTTGAGATGATTTCAGTTCACTTCCTTTATTTGTTCTTAAAGAAAACACGTCTCACAGCAGCCTCACTGAACGACACCAGAGACTGTAGAAACACAAGTTATCTTTGGATTATCAAACTTCTGTCGGCCTTGAACACATCATGTGTATGATGAGTAAAGAACAGTCCCTCACTTTAAGAAGACTTTGAAGGCAGCACAGAAGATTACTGATGTATGAAAATATGACTTTAACCTGAGCTGTGTCTCTACACACACACACACACACACAGACACACAGACACACACACACACACACACAGACACACACAGACACACACACACACAGACACACACACACACACACACACACACACACAGAGACACACACACAGACGGTTCTCTTATGGTAACTGAAAACAACAAACACTTAACTGATGTAACTTTAACTTCTGTTTACTTGTTTATCTGTTGACTCTTGAACCGGAAACAAACGTCATCATCAATAAAAACACGCGCAGGTTAAACTTGAGTAAAAACGTGTCTGTGTGTCAAATGAACGTAAGAAGCTTCTTACCTGATGTTTAACGGACCGGTTGCTAAGAGAGCGTTTACTGGTTGTTAGGGAAGAACGTCATCAGCGCGAGGGCGGGGCGGGAGTCTCCTAGCAACGGAGCCGCACAGATAAGAGTCTGTGACGTCATTTAGTGTCTTCAAATGAAACCGACAGCGGACACATCTGCTGATGTTTCACAAACAGGATTTAACACATTAAAAGGGTTTAAATTAAAAAGGTAAAATATCTAAAAAAAACAATAAGACTTCCGGTCATTGTATTTTTCAAAATAAGGGCCGCCAGCAACAGTGGAAGGATGTGGGGCCCTGGAGACAGATTTATATGTGTGTGTGAACACACACCTTCAAACTATTTACTGGAGGTCCTGAATGAATTTGTGTCAATGAAGTTATTCTGTTAGGTCAGATAATTATAGCCTTATATTTATATTTATATTTATATTTATATTCAAAGCTCAAACAGGAACAAATCACAACTGAAGTTTACTTATTTATCATAGGTTTATCTTAAATGTTACTTATTCTGTAAGCTGCTGGACCTGGGTGACGAGTTTAGTTCCCTCATGTTTTTAACATGTTTGAATGAGAACGAACTGAACCTTAAATGTTGAACCTGAAAAATACAGAGCGGAGGCAGTTTCTCATGGAAAAAAATACAAATTAAATCACACAAAGATTTGTAAACTCAAAAACTATTTTGCAAATATAAAACGGATCTGCAAATATAAGTTCTAGAAATAAAATCTATCTATCTATCTATCTATCTATCTGTCTATCTATATGTATGTATGTATTTGTGAATCCATTTAATAATTTTACAGATAAATGAAAATAATTTGTGAATATCTTTCTAAAATTGACAACTTTAAATCAGTGAATCCAGTTTTTATTTTTATTATTTTAGTTTACGGAATTTGTCTGTTTGCAGATGTTTTATATCTGAAAATTCGTTTTGTGAGTGAACAAATCTTATTTTGTGTTTGTGAAAGTTGTTTTATATTCACACATTAACACACAGACTGTGGATCTGTTCACACACACGTCTCCACAGGTTATTGATCTCTAACAGCTGATTCTCTGTTGAAACCTACAAAGAGGTTTCTGGGTTGAAAATAAAGGTTTAATTGAAATCATCTGAACATGATCATGTTGAGCTGATATTTGATTTTTTTTCCTTGATGGATTTTAACACAGAAAATCATTAATATTGTCTCGTGATTATATTCTGCTTCTTTTTGATTCTTTATGATGTTGCTCTGTTTTTGTACACTTCACTTATTTTGTGAACTTATATATTCCTTTGTGTTTTATTTCTGTCAACTGATGCTTCCTGTTCACTCTGTCCCTTTGATGCTTCTGTCGAACAAATAAAGGATCATCTTGTCTTACATGCTACGTAGCTACATTTGTTAGCTTCTGTTTGCTCTTTAAACATCCTGCAAGGTCTTTAACAGGTGACAACATGATAACTGCAGAAACCCTTAAGTCATCTTTCAGAAATGTAAGGGCTCCAGAAATACCTGAGTTGCAGGTCGACCACCATTTACACTGAATCATGCTGGACTTGGATATTTTGGTTTAAACCTGATGACGACTGCAGATCAATAACTGATCACTGATCAGGACACAAACATGAGATTATAGAAGTTTTTATTTCTGATGTTCACAGTTTAATATTTGTCTCTGAACAGCTGACAGCAGGTCTGTGAAGTTTCCATGAAAAGAATCATGCTGGTGAGATGGTTAGTGATTGGTTCAGATTTAATCAGCTGGTTCGGTCCTGCAGAGGACAACAGGAGGTCTTTGGTGAAGGTCACACCCTGAAATCAAACTGATCCTCGTAAGCTGCTGGCTGTAAGGGACAGTTTGACATTTTTGGAAACATTCTCTGTCAATCTCATGTCTCAGGGATTAGGACACAGTTATCTTAGCTTAGTTTAGCATAAAGGCTGGAAGCAGCAGTTTAACAGTATTTCCCATAATTACTCTGTTAAGCTCGTCTAACCCGTCCTGGATCTGCCACTGTCTCGTCTGGTGTCCTGAGCTGTCAACCTGAGGAGAAACTTTAACCAGAATAAGGAACATTTATGTCAGTTTACAGGAACAATAATCATCCAATCACACCATGGTTTAGGCCGATTGCTGCTCTGACATGTCACCGCGGACCAGCTGGTTCTGGTTTACAGGCTGGCGGCTGGTAGTTTAGTCTCTGAAGGCTTCGGCCAGGTTTCTGTCTGATGAAGCTTCAGGTCGGGAGATCATGTTTCACTGGATTATTAAGGCTTTAATGTGCTACACACAACTGAGTGTCTTCACCAATACTCTGTAAAATAATCCTGAGTATATTAAGACAGAAGACGCTGCAGCTGCTGACAGTCTGGCGAGGAGGAGGGGCCTGATGGTTGATGTCATGTGATCATGTAAAATGAAGAAATCAAAGGACCAAGGATTGAACCCTGAGGAACTCCACAACTGATTATCACAACTGTTAATGGGATGATCATGTTGCTGCTAACACGTTAGCCACAGCTACTTTAGGAGATGATAACATGTCAGATGTTGTGTTGTTGATCAGCGTGTTCTGCTGCCCCCGGTGGACAGATTAAATATTGGCAATAAAAACAGCAGCAGGTCTCATGTAGTGTTTTGATGCTGCTGTGGCACCGCGAGCTGCAGAGGAGAGACAGTTTCATGTTACAGCTAACGTAGCATGATTAGCATAGTTGCTGTTAGCTTATTTCCTAATTCATCAACACTAAAAAACATGTTTTCTGTCGTTATTTTTGGCTTTAATTTGTTTTCAGACAGCAACTAAAAATCCCTCCAAACATAAAATATCACACTCATCAGATAAATTCAGGACCTTCAGTCGCAGCCCTCCATCAACCCCCCGTCAGCTGTCCATCCGTCCCTTGTCAACCCTCCATCAGTCTCCTGTCAACCCTCCATCAGCCTCCTGTCAACCCTCCATCAGCCTCCTGTCAACCCTCCATCAGCCTCCTGTCAACCCTCCATCCGTCCCTTGTCAACCCTCCATCAGTCTCCTGTTAACCCTCCATCAGCCTCTTGTCAACTTTCCATCAGTACTCTGGCAGCGTCTCGTCGTAGTCCATGATGCTGAGTTCGTGTCTCCTCTGTCGGACGGCGAGCATCAGGTCAGCAGGAGGCGCAGGAGGTCCAGAGGGAGGCAGGCTGGGAGCTGCAGCGCGGTTTGGAGGCACCGTCTGAGGACTTCCTGCAAGGAAGTTGGCCTCCTCCGCCTCCTGACCCAGAGGAGGGCTGTCTGGCTGGACCTCCTCCTCGTCCTCCTCCTCCACCTCCTCTTCCTTTTCCTCTTCCTCCCCCTCCTGTTGCTCCTCCTCCTCCTGGCTCTGATTGGCTGGTCTGAACAGCTGCCGTGCATGCTGCTCCAGGAAGGAGCCGACGGCGAGGGGGGAGTCGATAGGGGAGAGGGACAGGGGGGAGGAGGAGCAGGAAGGGAGGTGCAGGGGGGAGGTGGAGAGGGTCTCCACGGCTCCATTTAATATACCAACAGAAGAAGAGGAGGAGGGGCGGGGCTTGTGGCTGCCCTCAGGAGCTGGTAAGGCAACGCTGCCCCCGTTTGGCCTGAGGGTGAGACAGATGACATCACATGATCACAGCACTGACATCATCAGCTGTAAGTGATGACATCACCATGGCTTACCTGACATCCTGAGGCCGGCTGTGCGTGTGAGCGTCCAGGTGGAGCTGGCTGTACAGGTGCAGCGTCTCGGTCTGAAGCGTCTGGGTGACTCTCCTCAGAGCGACGTAGCGACTCTCACAGGCCGACAGCTCGCCTCTGACACACACACACACACACACACACACACAACACGTCAACATGTTAACAGACACGCCAGCGTCTCATGACGTCTGCGTGATACATGAGCAGTGAGGACTACAGTTGAAAATTAGCCAGTACGGCTAAACTGGCACATTTACAGAGATGTTTATTGCTGTGCGTCGTCCCTGTGACTCTAAACTGAATAAATAAATAAAAAACGTGTAAACATGGCGAGTCACAGCTGGTCGTCTGAGTGCGTCCCAGATACAACTTGTTTCTGATGTTCTCTGGTGATTATTATATACAGTATGTCTAAAACTGTCTGAACCTTCATACATGATGTATGACATATGTGATCTACAGTGTCTACAGGTGTCACATGGTCAGGTGATTACTGAGACGCCAAACTCATCTACTCAGAGTCAGATCTATTGGCTGAGAGTGTTCACACAGAAAGAACTTAACTCTGAATCAGATGTGATGTAATCGTGATATTATGTGATAAAATATTCCGTAAATACTTAAATAAACTACTGTATAAATTTAACAGTTTAACAGTTTGAGAAATATATAAAAAAATATATGACACTCTTTCTAAAAGAGTTCTTTTTTTCCTCATTCATGTTGTGTGAGATGTGAGAGTGGACCGATGATCAACTATGGATAATCACCAGAAAATAAATGTTGGCATTTAATGTTTAAACCACAGATACGTTTGTGTTGAAACCTGATGTTTCAACAACACTGTGGTTAATGTGTGGTTCATTTAGGCACAGACACCACTTGATTATTATGATGAGGAAGAGGTCACGGTTTGTCTCCACGTATCCTGTTGGGGAGCATCACCCTGTCATCACCCTGTCATCACCCCGTCATCACCACGTCATCACCCCGTCATCACCACGTCATCACCCTGTCATCACCCCGTCATCACCACGTCATCACCACGTCATCACCCTGTCATCACCCCGTCATCACCCCGTCATCACCACGTCATCACCCTGTCATCACCCTGTCATCATTACTTTTTAACGTGTCTGATGGACAGTGAGACACTAGAGTCTCTCACCTGAGGACACGTCTAAGTTTCCTCAGACGGGACGGAAGTGTTTCTTATTTTATCATGATGACAGTTTAGAGAGACGTCCCCTCTGTCCCTCTGTCCGTCCCTCTGTCTGTCCCTCAGCAGGACGACTATGTCTGTCTGTCCCTCTGTGTGTCTCTGACCTGCTCTGGACCTTGGTGTCCTCCAGGAGTTTCTTCAGGTCCAGGATCAGCTGGTCCTTCTTGGTCAGCTGACCCTCCAGCTCTGCTATCCTGTGATTGGCTGCTTCCAGCTTCTGTCTGTGCTGGACGTCACTGTCCTTCAGACGCAGGTACTCCTTACCCACACTGCACTGCAGCATGGACGCCTCCTGACCAACACACACACACACACACACAGTGAAAACTCAGAGGAACACGGTGTCTCTGAACACCACATGTATCACCCGTACCTGTGAACCATGTGACGTCTCTTTGAAGGCGGAGTCACAGCTGTGTGTCAGCTCCTTCACACACTATATAATGATAATAACAATAATGTGTCTCCATACATTAACCTTTAACCCCGGAGCCTTCACAGCTGCTTATTAATGTGTGTGTGTGTGTGTGTGTGTGTGTGTGTGTGTCTGTAAACAAATAAATAAACAAACACAAACATCAGCAGGTTTAATCTGACGACTTTAAATCTGACAATAAGCCGTGTCTGAATTCATCTTCACTTTGATTCCTCTGTGTTTTATATCTCAGCTGTGACATGTGGATGTGTTCATACGTGTGTGTGTGTGTGTGTGTGTGTGTGTGCTCACAGTGTGTGTGTGTGTCTCTCCTCCCTCCAGCTGGTCATTCAGAGCTCTGTTAGTTTGTCTCATCAGGACGAGCTGCTGGTTCAACAAGAAGATCTGCTGTTGCAGCTGCTCACTGCTGCACAGCTGCAACACACACACACACACACACACACACACACACACACAGTAACAAATCATCTTCTTCATCATAAACATTTAGAACACTGTGTATAAACCTGATCAGCAGTATTGATGAACCTCCACATGTTTCAGTAGAGACTTTTATCAAAGTTTTACAAACTGATTTATTGATACATTACATCATCAATGACTGTTCATATTCAATAATCAATAATCAGCCTCACCTTGATGGACAGCTCCGTCAGCTGGTGTTCTGCATTGTAAGCCTTGTTATTGGCTCTCTGAAGCTCCGCCTCCAGATCCCTCAGCCTGCTGTGACACTCCTGAAGCTCACTCTGCAACAGCCAATCACAGCACAGCTGGTTCAAAGACAGCCAATCACAGCACAGGACCAACACATATCTTTATACTGACGATGTGTCTCTGGTTGTCTGTGTGTTTCTGTGTGTGTATTAAATCAATCAATTTTATTTATAAAGCCCAATATCACAAATCACAATTTGCCTCACAGGGCTTTACAGCATACGACATCCCTCTGTCCTTATGACCCTCACAGCTGATCAGGAAAAACTCCCCAAAAAAACCCTTTAACAGGGAAGAAGTGTGAACTTGTTTCTGTCGAGCTTCGTCTCCAGCAGCAGCTTCACTTCACATCAGTTCAGTTTATAGTTTCTGTCTCCACAGTGTAAAGTTGTGGATGGTAGCAACAGCAGCGTTCCTTAGCGTCCCCATGTTTGGTCCCCCCTCTGTTGGGGTACCTAGCACACAGATCTGGTACTAAAAGGTGGAGCTAGAAACCCTGCAGTCTGATTGGTCAGTAGAGGACGCTCACTCTGGTTTTATGTAACCTCTGTTCATACATCAGTAAACTACAACTATAAAATGAAAGAGAAAAAAATAACTTCATTCACTGGGCCGACTGCCGGCAACTTTTAAGGTGGAACGTTAACTTGTAATGTTACTCAATGCATGAGTTGATGACGTGAATCCATCAGCACACCTTAAATTTCACTGTGACAACTTTGACCATCACTTTAGTTTTTATATGACACACACTTTTAGTAATGACTTTAAAAATATAGATTAATTTGGAGCGGATTATGTGAAGGTCATATATTCTAATCCTCACTTCCTGTGGGCTACAGCAACACTAAACCCCTGAGCTTGCCTGAGAAGGACTAAATGCACAAAGCTGCTATTTTTAAATATCCCATGGAGAGAGACTCTCACTGCAGCCTGTTCTATTTTGTTGTGAAAATGTGGGCGTGCAGCCTCGTTCTGTGGACGATAAACCAGGTGCAGACTTCCATCTGTGTCACCGCTGATGAGGAAATACAGCGAGTGCTGGACGGAGCAGTGAGTGACAACAACCCCGCCCACATTTAAGAGGACTGTCTGAACACACCGAGGGTCTAGGTACCATGTCTGAAGGCTTACTGCTGGTTCCAGAGGGACTGGACTGGAAGTATTCATGTGTATAAAGGTGTGTATTGTTACCTGCAGTCTCTGCCTGTCCCTCAGTTCGTCCTGTTGTTGCAGCAGCAGCTGTCTGATGTGTGTATTCAGCTGCTCAGTGTGTGTCTGTGTGTCCTGCTGCAGTTGTGTGTATCGTCTCTGTTCTTCCTGCAGACTCAACTTCAGACAGCGAATCTCTTCGTCCTGAGCGCTCAGCTGACCCTTCTGCAACACACACACACACACACACACACACACACACAGTGAATGACTGTCATGTCTGTTTGTCCTGCAGGAGGCATCAGAGGTCTCTGCGTGTACAAACAGACAGCAGTAACGGGACAGTGTTTACATGTGTTTGTTACCATGGCGACGCTGTGCTCCTCCAGCGAGGTTGCGTTGATGACCCTCCGCAGCAGGCGGCGGTTTCTGACGGCGTGCTGTTGGCGTTTGAAGCGTTCGTACTGCAGCTGACTGTGGACCAATAAGAGCTGGCTCCTCAGAGACTGAAGCTCCTCCCCCTGGGCGGGGCCTGACACACATACACACACACAATCAGACACGAGGATCATTTAATTGTATTTCCTGATGAAATCAGGTCTGACATTTATAAATTTATGATTTCAGCAACTTATAAAAAAACAGAGATCAGATAAAACCTTCATCACGTGAATATTTAATGAGAGTGTTTCAGAGCAAACTGAGCTGAAGCTGCTGCTGACATCTTGACGTCACCAGAGTTCATCCTGAGCAAACATGAATCAGAGATGTTTGAGTGTGGAGCCTCACAGCGACTCTGTTCTAACAAAGAACCAAACCATGATGCTGAACGAGCAGTTAAACTGGTTAAACTGGTTAGTAATGATTTACCAGTTAGAACAAAGTCACTTCCATCATGAACATGCTGAGTGAACACTTCGGACACAGTTTAAAAACCTGCAGCAGGTGAAACGACGTCACAGGAGAACAAACGTCACAGCTGCTGTCAGACAGACATCAAACTAACATCTGCAGATCTTTGTCTCCCCCCTGTGGCAGTGAGAGTAATGACACAAACACTGTCATCATGTTTATGTCACGTCTGCCTGCAGGTGAGGTCGCTGAAAAAGTCAGAGATGTTTTTATCCATTATTTGAGCACTGAGGACAAACAGACAAATTACACTTCACATTTTAACTGAGACCTGGTCGTCCTTTACTAACTCTGTCTTATTGAAGCTCCCCCGATTTTTGTTTCATTCATTCCTCAAGGCCGAGGTTTTTCACCTGCTGTGAATGTGCAGCTGAGTCACTGTTAAGGCCGAGTGCTTCTCCGCCATCGCCCCCCCAACACTGTGCAAACTTCTTCTCTGAATTCTCAGAGTTTGTATCTCATGTTTGTTCCAGTTATGATGCATGTTGTTTTCTCATCTCACTGTTTTCATGTTAAGGACCAACACATCGACCCTCGACTTAATTCTATGAAAGGGTGTTTATGTGCATGTTGTTGATGTCACTGACCACGTCGTCTCTGATCACTTCTGTTCTGTCTGCAGCACCCTGATCTACAGAGGTGCTATAGAAAAACACTTCATTCATCTTTAACTGAAACCTGTTGACGATGGGAGCAGAAACAAAGTTCTGCATTTCAGTTTCTCTTCAGTATAATTTATATATTTTATGTTAGATTTGTTTTTGTTGTCAGTTTAACTCTAAAACTCTAAAAAATGAAAGTGCAGAAAAAAAGTCTTCAACTGAAACCTGTGAACCAAGTGTTGAGTTCAAATGTTAGTTCAGTGTCGTCGGTCCTTTAGCTCTGATGTGTTGACATGTTGAAGTGAAGCCTGATCAAACTCCTCCATACTGACAAACACACAGGCAGTGATCGATGTGATCGACACTGAGTGAACTGGTCGGGTCTGAATCCGAGTCATGTGTTACAGTCCTGATGTGTGGTTTTAAAGATGTGTCCCAAACTGTGTGCGTCAACAGTGGAGGACAAACTGTGTATTAAATCTGGTGACATGAAATGTCATTTTAATGTGTTGGATCTGTGTGACACCTGCCAGGTAGAAACACACTGACACTGACCCTGGGTCTGATTTACAGAGAGATGATTAGACATCACGCAGCTGCAGAGAGACACCATTCATAGAAACATCAAACTGATTCGGGACGATCAGCTTACAGATAAAGACTTCAATCAATCAATAATCGATCAATCAGTGAGTGTTAATGAGTCAGAGTGTCATCACTGTTAGTTTCTGGTACCTTTGGTTTTCATGCTCTGCTGTTTACCTCCAAAATGACTCCGATCCATCGACTTATTCACCGCCGACAACCTGACACACACACACACACACACACAGAACATGATTATGACATCATACTGTCAGTGACGTACAAACAGTAGTTCAGACGTCTGTCAGCTGAGCTCTGCACAGGTACAGATTTTATTTTAAACTGATATTTTCCTTCTTTGTTTATAAAAACATTTTGTCCTCACGACCTTCATTTGTTAAAATATCTCCGTCCACACTGAAACACAAAAGCGACTCCAGATACTCGCCGGTGTTTGACCCTCAGTTTCCCCTCGTCACACAGGAAGTGATGCTGCTGGAGCTCTCGTCACTGGTGAGATAAAGATGGAGGAGCTCTGGACATTCAAAGTTTCCCTCCACCTGCTGGTTTCTGACCGACTTTAAACCGCAGACTGAGGTGGAGCAACAACATCAGACGCCTCCGTTCATCCATTCAGAGCTGCAGGCTGGAATCAAACCCATGGACACTGCCTTTATACATGGTATGCCTGCTCCACCCACTGAGCACCCTAAATTCATTGTTTTCAAAATAAACATGTGGCAGCTGCTATTTTTCAGGCCGTGACAGCTGCGTCCTGAGATACATGGAGTTCAACCTTTGGAGCGCAGCAGCATGACCACACGTCATGTGACGAGGACCGACCAATCACAGCCCTCAGATATCTGTCCTGTAAATATCAGTGTGTGATAAATATGGAGGAGAAGTTGATCATGTTAGTGCAGAGCTGTCAGAGCGTCACATCTGTCCCACACACACACACACACACACACACACACACACACACAGGAAGTAGATCAGCTCTGACCTCAGGGTTTCAGGAAAACAGGCTGTGATACGGTGCTGGTTATGGTTGCCTAGCAACCTCAGACACAAGCTGCTGCCGCGCCCTGCGCCGACCTTGAGTTTTCCAGGCGGTTAAAGACGCGGCGTGTTCGGGCCCAGAGACAACGGCAGGTGTTTGCAGGTGTTGGTGGCGTTCTGTGCAGCAGAGGCTTCAGATCGTGTTTGTGGACGAGCGGCTGAAAACATCTGTTTAAACATCTGTATCTGTGCAGAGTCCTGAACTGGACTTTGATTTTGGCTGTCTTAGTTTCCATGGTAACAGTCTCACCTCCTGCTGAGGTGTTGGTGTGCGTCGTGTCCGTGGACGATCAGCTGATCCAAAACCTCCAGAGGAGAGACGCAGGTCTGCTCCTCCTCCCTGTCCTCCCCCTGCTCTCCTCCTCCTCCTCCTCCCATCTCCTGCTCCTCTGCTGCTCTCTCCAGCGCCTCCTGCAGGAGACAGAAACACAAACATCAGACTGGACTGGTCACTTTTGTCTGCTGCCGCCTCCTTAGGTTAGCGTTAGAATTAACCTAGCGTTAGCCTTTAGCTCATTTTTAGCCTGCCAGTTCAAATAATGTGATGAAACTCTGAAACAGGCTGACGGTGCGTTCACTGGCTGTAGGTACTTTGACAGCTGTCCCCAAGTAATGTTCAAGAACCAGAATGAATGTCAAACTGTTTCATTAGTTGTTCTTATCAGTTTTTAGTGTCGCCCTGGAAACTGCCCTCAGGGCCACCGTACCGCCCCCTCCTGTTTGTCTGACCTGGTCTGCGTCAGTTTACCTGAGTCTTCCTCCCGATGAACAGCGTGGCGGCGCGGGGCAGAGCGAGCTCAAACAGGGGCTCATACGGAGGGGCGGGGCTCAGAGCGGAAGGGGCGGGGCCTCCCTCTTCTGATGTGTGGGCGGTGGTGGAGGGGTGAGGGGGGGTGAAGGAGAGGGAGATGGAGCAGGAAGGAGGAGGGGGGAGGGCTGAACCTGAGGAGGGGTTGTCACGGCCGGGGGTGGAGGTGAGGAGGACAGGATGGGAGGAGGAGGAGGAGGAGGAGGAGGAGGAAGGGGGAGGCTGCTGGGGTCTGACGTCTGCAGAGAAACAGAAGAAGAAGAACGTTTACTTCAGTTTTAAAAGGTAGTTTAACAAAAGGATCTTCACTGACTCCACCTGCTGATGACAACCATGAGAGGAAGCTGAAAGCTCCAGAAAACAACAGGAAGTGGACCTTGAGTTGAGACGACATTTGTTTTTTATAATTGTCAGATTTCAGCAGTTTGTTCTTAAAGAGCTGAAAAAATAAAGTTCATGTTGTTGTTGTTGTGTCAGCAGTGATCAATCAGCTGATCAGCTCACCTTCAGTGATGTTATTGATGACATCACTCTTCTCTGTGACTGGCTGAGTGGACGACCCCATCAGCTCCGTCAGCAGCTTCACCTGGGAGGAAGAGACAGAGACCCTTTCAAAATAAAAGCCTTCCAGTGAGACGGAGGACGGAGCTGAGGGTCCACCTGCCGTCCTGACCTCACCTGGTTGTTGTTGTCAGGAGTCAGACCGCCATCTTGGTCTTCAACCAGCGGCGTCACTGGGACGGTGGTTGATGGGGGACATTTCACACCTGGAGACACAACGGAGACAGACATGTATGAGACACAGTGAGACAGGTTCACCTGTCTCACTGTGTCTCACAGTGTCTCACCTCTCTCACTTGAGATGGAGGTGGTCCTGCTCAGTGGGTGGGCGGAGCCTGTAGCAGCAGGTTCAGGAGGGGGCGTCGACAAACCACACTGTGAGGAGGGACTCCATGTGACATCATCAGCCTGAACACACAAGCAATATGTAGTTAGTAAGGAAGGAGGGAAGGAGGGAAGGAGGGTAGGAGGGGAGGAGGGAAGGAGGGAAGGAGGGAAGGAGGGTAGGAGGGGAGGAGGGAAGGAGGGGAGGAGGGGAGGAGGGAAGGAGGGAAGGAGGGGAGGAGGGAAGGAGGGGAGGAGGGAAGGAGGGAAGGTAGCAAGGAGGAGTATTACCTGTGTGTAGGTGTTGTTGAGAGTCAGCTGAGTTGGACGTCCAGACAGCAGCGAAGGACAGACTGAACTTCCTGTTGATTAGCACAGTCAATAATTTATAGTTTTAAAAACAGACTCAGTGAATTCTGAGGTGATTTAAAAAAACAGTTAAATGTTCTGTTTGTAAATGTTTATATGTATTAATCATGTTTTGTCTGCAGTGGGTGAACAGCTGTGACGTGAGCCCGTCCCTCACTGTCTCTGTTTCCTCTGACAGCCTGCTGACTGATTTCTATGTGAAGGACTCAAAATTATTTTTCAAGGAAAATCCAGAGGATCTGATGTTTGTGTGTTCCTCAGTGTATTACCTCTCTTTAGCTCCGCTGCAGCGCTAACAGTGTGCTAGCAGAGTTAGCTAAGAACCAGAGTCCACTAACGTCAACCAACATCCGTCACCCACCACAGCACAGAGTCAACACATGGTGTGTTTCTGTTATTTACATTTTGACGCACTGGCCCGACAGAGACGGACCTTCACTTAGCTCCTGTAGCACGTTCAGCCTGGGGTTAGCGCAGACTGAACTTGAGTTGCTACAACGGCTAAAGGTCCAATCTGCTGTCTAAATAAATCTTGGCTCATTTTTTGGTTAAATGAACAAAAGATCTATTAAATTCAGCCGTACATCAGCTGACATGTGAAATATATTGTGATACTGTAATTTAGGCTGACCAAACGTCCTCTTTTGTCCGGACATGTCCACTTTTCACGTCCCATCCGGGGGTCTTTTGTAAACTGATGATAATGTCCGGTTTTCCGTGTGTTTGTGTGTATGTGTGTATGTGTGTGTGTGTGTGTTAGAGTGCGGCACGGGCAGCATATTTCTGTCCGAACCCGAACCGAGCCCGACGTTATTTAATGACCAAAGCACCGAGTTTGTGTCACACAGTGGTTACAGGCTATTTAACAGGCCGGGCGTGCGCCGTGGGTGCTCAGCTGCGGAGAGGTAGACCTCCGTGTTTGAGACGGGAGCGGGCGGCGGGAGGTCCGATGCTTCTAGCCAGAGGAGAGGGAGAAATAAAACAAAATAAGATAAAATAGGAAAAACCTGTCTCCCTCTTTTATTTTATTTTCAGCGTTTAATCAAGGCGGCGGCGGGCGGCTGGAGGTCCGAGACTTCCAGAGAGGGGAGAGGTAGAAACAAACAGCCAATGTGTGTCTGTGTGTGTTGTGTTCAGGTGTTGTCACGTAAATAACAGTGCCCAAGCAATAAACAGGACAGACAATAGGATTTTATTTATTTTTACACTACATTTTCACTGAAAGCTGACCGAATCCGACCCAAGCCCGAATACAATTTATAGCTACATTTTTGACCAAACCCGGCCCGACCTGTCGGGTACAGTCGGGCTCGGATCGCCACACTCTTGTGTGTGTATGTGTCCCCTATTGGGGCCTATCTGAATTTCTGTCTTTGAGAGATATTATTTTGTAATATAACTGAATTTTCTATCCATACATATAAATTTTAAATATATTAAAATTATAAGGCATCTTTGATTAAACTGTGAGTATCATTTAAGTAGGCTATGTCGTGGCCGGCCGAGTGTCCTCTTTTTTGGAAATCAAAATATGGTCACCCTATATGTATTTTTAGCTATCTGATGTTAGCTAACATTAGCTTACTTGCAAATGTGGACAAATTGCTAGCTAGCCAACGTAGCAAAATACTGTCTTGAGTGATTAATGTCAATGATCTGATCTGGCTGGTTAATTAGCTAGCTTACTGTTTGCAAATGACTTTATCAGCTAACGTTAGGAAGTAACCAACACCAGCTCTATGTGGCGTAGCTTAGTCACAGCTAGATGGCTAACCTAAGCTAGCTTGCTTTCTAACGTTATCGCTAACAAAATACTACCTGAGTGGACGTATCAGTTGGCTTGCTTATCAAATAACTTCCCCTGCTAAGATGATCCGTGATGCTAACGTATGTTTCATGACAAAAGGTTTGTAGTCAACAATATATGATGTAACAGTACAAAGTGCTTTCTGCTAGCCAAGAGTGATGTCAAACGAGCTAACTGTACCCTGAGCTAATGTTAGCCTGTTAGCCACAAGTTTATTTTTGCTTCACCTGGACGTTAAGTAATAAAGTAATAACTGTGTGTTACCTGAGCTGATGATGTCAGCGTGGTGAGGACTGGAGGTGACGTTCAGGTGAGGGAGGGGGGAGGGCGATGGGGAGGGGGGAGGGTCTCTGAGGGAGGAGTACACGTCCTCCTCACAGGACGACTCGAGAGGATCCAGAGACACTCGGGAGCACTCGATCACAATGTCATGGACTTCATAACACCTCCACCTGAGACAAACAGGAAGTTAATCAGAACACCTCCACCTGAGACAAACAGGAAGTTAATCAGAACACCTCCACCTGAGACAAACAGGAAGTTAATCAGAACACCTCCACCTGAGACAAACAGGAAGTTAATCAGAACACCTCCACCTGAGACAAACAGGAAGTTAATCAGAACACCTCCACCTGAGACAAACAGGAAGTTAATCAGAACACCTCCACCTGAGACAAACAGGAAGTTAATCAGAACACCTCCACCTGAGACAAACAGGAAGTTAATCAGAACACCTCCACCTGAGACAAACAGGAAGTTAATCAGAACACCTCCACCTGAGACAAACAGGAAGTTAATCAGAACACCTCCACCTGAGACAAACAGGAAGTTAATCAGAACACCTCCACCTGAGACAAACAGGAAGTTAATCAGAACACCTCCACCTGAGACAAACAGGAAGTTAATCAGAACACCTCCACCTGAGACAAACAGGAAGTTAATCAGAACACCTCCACCTGAGACAAACAGGAAGTTAATCAGAACACCTCCACCTGAGACAAACAGGAAGTTAATCAGAACACCTCCACCTGAGACAAACAGGAAGTTAATCAGAACACCTCCACCTGAGACAAACAGGAAGTTAATCAGAACACCTCCACCTGAGACAAACAGGAAGTTAATCAGAACACCTCCACCTGAGACAAACAGGAAGTTAATCAGAACACCTCCACCTGAGACAAACAGGAAGTTAATCAGAACACCTCCACCTGAGACAAACAGGAAGTTAATCAGAACACCTCCACCTGAGACAAACAGGAAGTTAATCAGAACACCTCCACCTGAGACAAACAGGAAGTTAATCAGAACACCTCCACCTGAGACAAACAGGAAGTTAATCAGAACACCTCCACCTGAGACAAACAGGAAGTTAATCAGAACACCTCCACCTGAGACAAACAGGAAGTTAATCAGAACACCTCCACCTGAGACAAACAGGAAGTTAATCAGAACACCTCCACCTGAGACAAACAGGAAGTTAATCAGAACACCTCCACCTGAGACAAACAGGAAGTTAATCAGAACACCTCCACCTGAGACAAACAGGAAGTTAATCAGAACACCTCCACCTGAGACAAACAGGAAGTTAATCAGAACACCTCCACCTGAGACAAACAGGAAGTTAATCAGAACACCTCCACCTGAGACAAACAGGAAGTTAATCAGAACACCTCCACCTGAGACAAACAGGAAGTTAATCAGAACACCTCCACCTGAGACAAACAGGAAGTTAATCAGAACACCTCCACCTGAGACAAACAGGAAGTTAATCAGAACACCTCCACCTGAGACAAACAGGAAGTTAATCAGAACACCTCCACCTGAGACAAACAGGAAGTTAATCAGAACACCTCCACCTGAGACAAACAGGAAGTTAATCAGAACACCTCCACCTGAGACAAACAGGAAGTTAATCAGAACACCTCCACCTGAGACAAACAGGAAGTTAATCAGAACACCTCCACCTGAGACAAACAGGAAGTTAATCAGAACACCTCCACCTGAGACAAACAGGAAGTTAATCAGAACACCTCCACCTGAGACAAACAGGAAGTTAATCAGAACACCTCCACCTGAGACAAACAGGAAGTTAATCAGAACACCTCCACCTGAGACAAACAGGAAGTTAATCAGAACACCTCCACCTGAGACAAACAGGAAGTTAATCAGAACACCTCCACCTGAGACAAACAGGAAGTTAATCAGAACACCTCCACCTGAGACAAACAGGAAGTTAATCAGAACACCTCCACCTGAGACAAACAGGAAGTTAATCAGAACACCTCCACCTGAGACAAACAGGAAGTTAATCAGAACACCTCCACCTGAGACAAACAGGAAGTTAATCAGAACACCTCCACCTGAGACAAACAGGAAGTTAATCAGAACACCTCCACCTGAGACAAACAGGAAGTTAATCAGAACACCTCCACCTGAGACAAACAGGAAGTTAATCAGAACACCTCCACCTGAGACAAACAGGAAGTTAATCAGAACACCTCCACCTGAGACAAACAGGAAGTTAATCAGAACACCTCCACCTGAGACAAACAGGAAGTTAATCAGAACACCTCCACCTGAGACAAACAGGAAGTTAATCAGAACACCTCCACCTGAGACAAACAGGAAGTTAATCAGAACACCTCCACCTGAGACAAACAGGAAGTTAATCAGAACACCTCCACCTGAGACAAACAGGAAGTTAATCAGAACACCTCCACCTGAGACAAACAGGAAGTTAATCAGAACACCTCCACCTGAGACAAACAGGAAGTTAATCAGAACACCTCCACCTGAGACAAACAGGAAGTTAATCAGAACACCTCCACCTGAGACAAACAGGAAGTTAATCAGAACACCTCCACCTGAGACAAACAGGAAGTTAATCAGAACACCTCCACCTGAGACAAACAGGAAGTTAATCAGAACACCTCCACCTGAGACAAACAGGAAGTTAATCAGAACACCTCCACCTGAGACAAACAGGAAGTTAATCAGAACACCTCCACCTGAGACAAACAGGAAGTTAATCAGAACACCTCCACCTGAGACAAACAGGAAGTTAATCAGAACACCTCCACCTGAGACAAACAGGAAGTTAATCAGAACACCTCCACCTGAGACAAACAGGAAGTTAATCAGAACACCTCCACCTGAGACAAACAGGAAGTTAATCAGAACACCTCCACCTGAGACAAACAGGAAGTTAATCAGAACACCTCCACCTGAGACAAACAGGAAGTTAATCAGAACACCTCCACCTGAGACAAACAGGAAGTTAATCAGAACACCTCCACCTGAGACAAACAGGAAGTTAATCAGAACACCTCCACCTGAGACAAACAGGAAGTTAATCAGAACACCTCCACCTGAGACAAACAGGAAGTTAATCAGAACACCTCCACCTGAGACAAACAGGAAGTTAATCAGAACACCTCCACCTGAGACAAACAGGAAGTTAATCAGAACACCTCCACCTGAGACAAACAGGAAGTTAATCAGAACACCTCCACCTGAGACAAACAGGAAGTTAATCAGAACACCTCCACCTGAGACAAACAGGAAGTTAATCAGAACACCTCCACCTGAGACAAACAGGAAGTCAATCAGAACACCTCCACCTGAGACAAACAGGAAGTTAATCAGAACACCTCCACCTGAGACAAACAGGAAGTTAATCAGAACACCTCCACCTGAGACAAACAGGAAGTTAATCAGAACACCTCCACCTGAGACAAACAGGAAGTTAATCAGAACACCTCCACCTGAGACAAACAGGAAGTTAATCAGAACACCTCCACCTGAGACAAACAGGAAGTTAATCAGAACACCTCCACCTGAGACAAACAGGAAGTTAATCAGAACACCTCCACCTGAGACAAACAGGAAGTTAATCAGAACACCTCCACCTGAGACAAACAGGAAGTTAATCAGAACACCTCCACCTGAGACAAACAGGAAGTTAATCAGAACACCTCCACCTGAGACAAACAGGAAGTTAATCAGAACACCTCCACCTGAGACAAACAGGAAGTTAATCAGAACACCTCCACCTGAGACAAACAGGAAGTTAATCAGAACACCTCCACCTGAGACAAACAGGAAGTTAATCAGAACACCTCCACCTGAGACAAACAGGAAGTTAATCAGAACACCTCCACCTGAGACAAACAGGAAGTTAATCAGAACACCTCCACCTGAGACAAACAGGAAGTTAATCAGAACACCTCCACCTGAGACAAACAGGAAGTTAATCAGAACACCTCCACCTGAGACAAACAGGAAGTTAATCAGAACACCTCCACCTGAGACAAACAGGAAGTTAATCAGAACACCTCCACCTGAGACAAACAGGAAGTTAATCAGAACACCTCCACCTGAGACAAACAGGAAGTCAATCAGAACACCTCCACCTGAGACAAACAGGAAGTTAATCAGAACACCTCCACCTGAGACAAACAGGAAGTTAATCAGAGCACCTCCACCTGAGACAAACAGGAAGTTAATCAGAACACCTCCACCTGAGACAAACAGGAAGTTAATCAGAACACCTCCACCTGAGACAAACAGGAAGTTAATCAGAGCACCTCCACCTGAGACAAACAGGAAGTTAATCAGAGCACCTCCACCTGAGACAAACAGGAAGTTAATCAGAACACCTCCACCTGAGACAAACAGGAAGTCAATCAGAACACCTCCACCTGAGACAAACAGGAAGTCAATCAGAGCACCTCCACCTGAGACAAACAGCAAGTCAATCAGAAGTCGGTGATGGTGATGTCATGTATATCTGTGTTTATGGATTTTAAGTACAAAACTGGTTTCTTTCTGCTGAGACTTCTGTCGTTGGTTTCAATGTGATAAATGAAAGTAAAATTCAAAACAAACACGAAGCAGGTTCAGGTTCAGGTTCAGGCCTGTGTGTGTTACCTGTGTACTCACCTGGACGGGTCCAGCTCATAGTCCTGAGTCCCTGTGACCAACTCTGGGTGAACCCTGACATGCTCCAACATCGGCTACAAGACAGAGAGATAGATTTTCCTCAGTGAACAAACTCCATGTCTTTGTCATCATTCAGTTTCAGATCCTTCAGTTTAACAGAATTCAGAGAACAGGAAGAAGGAAAGTCAACTACGACTCTCAGGGTGCATTTCACTAACAAACAGCCAATCACAGAGCGTCACATTAACGCAGGGCTAAAGATGATGCCTCTATTGCTGAGGAAAGATTCTGGAGTTTAAATCTTTTTACTGTCACACTTAATCTCCACAGCAACAGCAGCAGAGGCTCATGGGTAGTGTAGTAAAAACAGACGCCTCGCAGACAGCGGGACTGTTTACATTAATCTAAAATAAAATCCATAATAGCTACAACATTCATTCTTTTTGCAGCAGAAGGCTGAAGCTTCTTTCTTCGGTCATCACGTTGTAATCTTGTTTTTATTACATTATGTCTCATGTGGTGCAAAACTACACAAAAACACACTGTGGCAGCAGAAGAATAAATGATGAAGCTATCAAAACGTCTTTATACAGAAGCGCAGTGTATTCACTGAACGATTAAAAAAACTGACGCCTTATCTTATAATTATGACATAAGATCTTGTAACTATAAGATCCTGATCTAGACAAGGAGGAAGTTCTCGTGTGCTGCTGTTGTTGTTGTTGTTTGGTTGCGGTGTCCTTGAACATAAACAGCAGACACCAAAAGATACCTCATGTGAATATCTGCTGTTTTCACGGCTATAATCTTCAACAGCTCCGTATCAAAGTCTTGATTTCTCCCAGTTTCTAGATATGTTGGAAACTAATTCAGGCAGATGTCTCACAGTTTTAAATCACCAATATCCAACTCGTTCTCATCCTGAAGGAAGTTGCCACATATTGTCGCTCTCCATGTTATGGCTCGGTCTCCTCTGGCGTCTGCTGTTTATGTTCCAGGACACCGCAAACAAACAACAGCAACAAAATCACATGGCAACTTTACTGCTGTCTGGATCAGGATCTCATAAAAAATGTCAGATTTTTAATATTTTCTTTTATTTTTGAAACGATTTTAATACTTTTATCAATAATTTTGTTTTATTATATACATAACCCTTTAGCTCATGTTGTGCAGATTTTAGGGATATGAAGCGTTAGAAGATACTCCAGGAAGTGACATCACAATAAGTAAAAATACCACTGCAGGAACTGATGGATCATTTCTACTGCAGAGCTCAAAGGGTTAAAACAGGTGGTGACAACATGAACCTGTGTGATAGGTCAATCATTAGATTACTAAAGAAAACCAGACACACTGAAGATGATGATATTAAACGTGTGTTGTGTGTGCAGCAGCCTCTGAGTCTCTGCTGCAGGTTTGAGTTTCATGTTATCTGAGAAACACAGCAGCTGCTCGTCACTGCAGCTATTTCTGTTCTGGAAACCAGTGCGGCAGCTGACACTGGGCCAACACGTCCACTGGTCTCATGCTGCTGATCAATAATGTAACAAATTCACACTCAGAATTTAAGACTAAAAACATCTTATAGAAAAACACAGCTAACATTTACATGAACGTTTAAATAAATTATTAAGTGTATCATGTGTTCCTCGTCTAACTTTAAGTTCTCAGAGTTTAAGAACTGATAAAATGGAGGATGTAAACAGGAAGTATAATGCATCAGGTTTTAGTGTCACTGATGCAAAGTGAAAACATCGATTCATATCATCATCTTTAGGAAACACTTTTATTTTGAAACTCCCTGTCAGTGTCAAACAGCAGCAGGCAGATGGCGTGCAGCTGAGAGAGAGACGATGATGATAACGTTATTAACTTGGGAATAAATCGAAAGAGTGGAAATATTTTGGATGATGGAGAAAATACGAATCAACAGATCGAACACATGTCGTATGTAAACAATGCTGTTTGAGGACACGAGCGTCTCACTCCACTAACTTCTCTCTGCAGAAACATCAGCTGCTGTTTCTACAATGTTCAACTGAAAATGTAAATTCATGTAAATTGTTCAGCTACAAGCAGAGGAAAACTCTGTTAGCTGCTGGGCTAATTTATGCAATCAGAATCAGAATGAGAAATCATTTTTAACTGCTGTTAAATGATGTTGGCGTTTTATGGCTGTTTGGAGACGTCTGTCTTCAGGTTTTATGAAAAAGATGATGGTTTGGGTTAGGGCCGTAACGGTACATGTATCTGTGTCGAACCGTTCGGTACACGACTTTCGGTTCGGCACGACCCTGTACCGAATTATTGGGCGCAGGATATTATTTTATTTTATTTTGTTTTATTTTAATTCCGTTTTTGCGAGCCGAACCATTTAAAATATCTAGTTCCCCGACGGACATAATTGAGTGATGGACCGAGTCCGACCGTAAATCTCCGCTTTCACTTTGTGCAGCGCATTCTCGCATTTTGACAACATGGCAAGTGAGCCTGACGAACCTGAAGACCAACCCGCAAACCTTAAGTCCTCCGTTTGGGAACACTTTGGTTTCAGGGTAAAATACGAAGATGGAAATAAACAAGTGGACAAGACAAAAGCAGTGTGCCGACACTGCAGAACAGCGGTCGGGTATGTACTTGGAAACACGTCTAACATGCTAACGCATCTAAAGCGACACCACCCGAGTTTGAACGTTAACCGGCACGACTAGAAAAAGCAATCTGGTGCAAACTACGATATCGTCGTCGTTTAAAAAGAAAGAGCGTTTCCCTGACCATCGCGCTAAAGAAATAACCAACGCCATTGGAGTTGAGTAAAATTGTTTAAGCTGCACTTTAGATATAAGCATGTTTTGTTTACTGCACTTTAACAAAGTGGGAAAGCTAAGTAAGTTCCTAGTAAAACTGAATCTGAGCAGGCTTTAAAGCTGACCAGCTGCACTATACTTTTTATTTTAATTGAGTTAAACTGTTAAAAAAGAAATTTATATTTATTTTTTTCATTCAAAAATTGTGTAAAAACAGTTAACTGCTGTGGTGGTATGTTTTAATAAGGTTACCTATAAGTAAAAGATATTTAATAGTTGTCTATTTTTTTCATTACTGTACTGAAAAAAAAACGAACCGTGACTTGTGTACCGAACCGAGATTTTTGTGTACCATTATCACCCCTAGTTTGGGTTCAAATGACAATATTTCTTACAGAAAGGTCTCTGACAGAAAGCCCTGAAGGTTAGCTGATCCCATGTGCTGTTTTCTGTGTTAGTGGAGGTTAAAGTCAACTTTACTGTTCTTAAGTGGTTACAGATAAATAAATTATTTACGTGTTATTTCTATATTTCATGACCAAAAGTAAAAATTAAGCTGCAGCAGCTTCTTCTGTAACAGACTGTGTTCAATGATCAGATGATATTGGCTCATATCGATCACAGGCCCCTGAATCAGTGCGTCTGTTCACAGTGTGTCTGTTCACAGTGTGTCTGTTCACAGTGTCTCTGTTCACAGTGTGTCTGTTCACAGTGTGTCTGTTCACAGTGTGTCTGTTCACAGTGTGTCTGTTCACAGTGTGTCTGTTCACAGTGTGTCTGTTCACAGTGTGTCTGTTCACAGTGTGTCTGTTCACAGTGACTCTGTTCACAGTGTGTCTGTTCACAGTGTGTCTGTTTACAGTGACTCTGTTCACAGTGTGTCTGTTCACAGTGTGTCTGTTCACAGTGTGTCTGTTCACAGTGTGTCTGTTCACAGTGTGTCTGTTCACAGTGACTCTGTTCAGTGTGTCTGTTCACAGTGACTCTGTTCACAGTGACTCTGTTCACAGTGACTCTGTTCACAGTGTGTCTGTTTACAGTGACTCTGTTCACAGTGTGTCTGTTCACAGTGTGTCTGTTTACAGTGACTCTGTTCACAGTGTGTCCGTTCACAGTGTGTCTGTTCACAGTGTGTCTGTTCACAGTGTGTCTGTTCACAGTGTGTCTGTTCACAGTGTCTCTGTTCACAGTGTGTCTGTTCACAGTGTGTCTGTTCACAGTGTGTCTGTTCACAGTGTGTCTGTTCACAGTGTGTCTGTTCACAGTGACTCTGTTCACAGTGACTCTGTTCACAGTGTGTCTGTTCACAGTGTGTCTGTTTACAGTGACTCTGTTCACAGTGTGTCTGTTCACAGTGTCTCTGTTCACAGTGTGTCTGTTCACAGTGTGTCTGTTCACAGTGTGTCTGTTCACAGTGTGTCTGTTCACAGTGTGTCTGTTCACAGTGTGTCTGTTCACAGTGTGTCTGTTCACAGTGTGTCTGTTCACAGTGTGTCTGTTCACAGTGTGTCTGTTCACAGTGTGTCTGTTCACAGTGTGTCTGTTCACAGTGTGTCTGTTCACAGTGTGTCTGTTCACAGTGTGTCTGTTCACAGTGTGTCTGTTCACAGTGTGTCTGTTCACAGTGTGTCTGTTCACAGTGTCTCTGTTCACAGTGTGTCTGTTCACAGTGTGTCTGTTCACAGTGTGTCTGTTCACAGTGTGTCTGTTCACAGTGTGTCTGTTCACAGTGACTCTGTTCACAGTGTGTCTGTTTACAGTGACTCTGTTCACAGTGTGTCCGTTCACAGTGTGTCTGTTCACAGTGTGTCTGTTCACAGTGTGTCTGTTCACAGTGTGTCTGTTCACAGTGTGTCTGTTTACAGTGTCTCTGTTCACAGTGTGTCTGTTCACAGTGTGTCTGTTCACAGTGTGTCTGTTCACAGTGTGTCTGTTCACAGTGTGTCTGTTCACAGTGTGTCTGTTCACAGTGTGTCTGTTCACAGTGTGTCTGTTCACAGTGTGTCTGTTCACAGTGTGTCTGTTCACAGTGTGTCTGTTCACAGTGTGTCTGTTCACAGTGTGTCTGTTCACAGTGTGTCTGTTCACAGTGTGTCTGTTCACAGTGTGTCTGTTCACAGTGTGTCTGTTCACAGTGTGTCTGTTCACAGTGTGTCTGTTCACAGTGTGTCTGTTCACAGTGTGTCTGTTCACAGTGTGTCTGTTCACAGTGTGTCTGTTCACAGTGTGTCTGTTCACAGTGTGTCTGTTCACAGTGTGTCTGTTCACAGTGTGTCTGTTCACAGTGTGTCTGTTCACAGTGTGTCTGTTCACAGTGTGTCTGTTCACAGTGTGTCTGTTCACAGTGTGTCTGTTCACAGTGTGTCTGTTCACAGTGTGTCTGTTCACAGTGTGTCTGTTCACAGTGTGTCTGTTCACAGTGTGTCTGTTCACAGTGTGTCTGTTCACAGTGTGTCTGTTCACAGTGACTCTGTTCACAGTGTGTCTGTTCACAGTGTGTCTGTTTACAGTGACTCTGTTCACAGTGTGTCCGTTCACAGTGTGTCTGTTTACAGTGTGTCTGTTCACAGTGTGTCTGTTCACAGTGTGTCTGTTCACAGTGTGTCTGTTCACAGTGACTCTGTTCAGTGTGTCTGTTCACAGTGACTCTGTTCACAGTGACTCTGTTCACAGTGACTCTGTTCACAGTGTGTCTGTTTACAGTGACTCTGTTCACAGTGTGTCTGTTCACAGTGTGTCTGTTTACAGTGACTCTGTTCACAGTGTGTCCGTTCACAGTGTGTCTGTTTACAGTGTGTCTGTTCACAGTGTGTCTGTTCACAGTGTGTCTGTTCACAGTGTGTCTGTTCACAGTGACTCTGTTCAGTGTGTCTGTTCACAGTGACTCTGTTCACAGTGACTCTGTTCACAGTGACTCTGTTCACAGTGTGTCTGTTTACAGTGACTCTGTTCACAGTGTGTCTGTTCACAGTGTGTCTGTTTACAGTGACTCTGTTCACAGTGTGTCTGTTCACAGTGTGTCTGTTCACAGTGTGTCTGTTCACAGTGTGTCTGTTCACAGTGTGTCTGTTCACAGTGTGTCTGTTCACAGTGTGTCTGTTCACAGTGTGTCTGTTCACAGTGTGTCTGTTCACAGTGTGTCTGTTCACAGTGTGTCTGTTCACAGTGTGTCTGTTCACAGTGTGTCTGTTCACAGTGTGTCTGTTCACAGTGTGTCTGTTCACAGTGTGTCTGTTCACAGTGTGTCTGTTCACAGTGTGTCTGTTCACAGTGTGTCTGTTCACAGTGTGTCTGTTCACAGTGTGTCTGTTCACAGTGTGTCTGTTTACAGTGACTCTGTTCACAGTGTGTCTGTTCACAGTGTGTCTGTTCACAGTGTGTCTGTTTACAGTGTCTCTGTTCACAGTGTGTCTGTTTACAGTGACTCTGTTCACAGTGTGTCCGTTCACAGTGTGTCTGTTCACAGTGACTCTGTTCACAGTGTGTCTGTTCACAGTGTGTCTGTTCACAGTGTGTCTGTTTACAGTGACTCTGTTCACAGTGTGTCTGTTTACAGTGACTCTGTTCACAGTGTGTCCGTTCACAGTGTGTCTGTTCACAGTGACTCTGTTCACAGTGTGTCTGTTCACAGTGTGTCTGTTCACAGTGTCTCTGTTCACAGTGACTCTGTTCACAGTGTGTCTGTTTACAGTGACTCTGTTCACAGTGTGTCCGTTCACAGTGTGTCCGTTCACAGTGTGTCTGTTCACAGTGTGTCTGTTCACAGTGCGTCTGTTTGTTTACAGTGACTCTGTTCACAGTGTGTCCGTTCACAGTGAGTCTGTTCAGTGTGTCTGTTTACAGTGAGTCTGTTCACAGTGCGTGTGCGTGCTCTGTTGGTCTGTCCTGGTCTCTGTTGGTCTGTCCTGGTCCGTACTGACCTTGACGACCTCCTGGAAGGTGTCCAGGTTCTCCTTCATGCTGTAGTGCAGCCTCAGGTAGGAGATGAAGTTACAGGGGAACATCCCATACAGACGGTGGAACAGAGAGTACACGCCTGCATGGAGGTGGACCAGGTGGACCACAGGTACATGACCTGTAGGGGACAGAGAACAGCCAATACCAGTCCAGGACCTGGACTCACCTCAGGGTCAATTAGTTTAATGTGTGTGTGTGTGTGTGTGTGTGTGTATGTGTGTGTTACCAGGGTTCTTGTAGCTCCAGGATGCGAGGCGTCCAAACACATCGAAGAAGTCGTAGATGTGTTGTTTCCCGGCCTGAGGGATCATGGGTAACAGGGTGATGAGGACCAGGACTCCAGTGATCAGGACCACCACGTCCGTCTCTGTCTGAGGACACAAACACACCGTGAGACAACGACAAGCAGCAAGACTCAGGTGTATCTCTGATGAGGACTCTGACAGAACACAGTATTAATATGAGTGTGAGTACCTTGAGGCAGCGCAGCAGCGACGGCAGCAGCGGCGAGCGGCTGATGTGATGAACCCATGGCGGCTGTTTCCTGATCAGGTGACCCAGCAGGGTCAGAGCAGCCAGTCTGGATCCAGGTCTGTTCAGAGTCTCATTCAGCTTCTCCAGCAGAGGCTGAAGGACCAGTACAACACGGTTATCATCATCAATACACTGATCAATACTGTGATCAATACACTGATCAATACTGTGATCAGTAAGAGGAGTGTGAGGAGACAAGAGTCAGCTGACCTTGTGATGAGGCTCTCTGATGGAGGAGAGGAGGAGCACCACCTGAGAGGAGGACGAGTCCAGGTAATATTCCACCAGAGAGGAGAGGACAGCACCTCCTCTGTCTGAGAGGAGACACTACACATTAGACAGACAGGTGCAGACAGACAGGTGTGGACAGACAGGTGGAGACAGACAGGTGGACTCACCTGTACTCAGCTGCTGGTTGACTGCTGCTCTGACTTGCTCCGCCTCCTGCAGCTCTGAACTGTCCAATAAGAGCAGGAGCTCAGCGATACTCACCTGCTGACTGGACATCCTGAACACCTGGACAGACAGACAGACACACACACACACACACACACACACACACACACACACACACACACACACACCTGAGTTCCTCTTCCTGTTGTCTTCCTCAGGTGTATTATGGGATGTAGACGTGTTTTGTTTATGTTTATGTTTATGGTTTTATTATTTTCTGTGACAAGGTTTGTGTCATCAGGATGAGATGCCGTCATGTTTCTGTGTTTACAGGTGAACTTATCAAACAACATGTTTTTATGATGTCACGTGTCAGCAGGTGCCGACAGGTGAGTCTGTCACGTGATAATCTGATATTTACACGCAGTATTAAAACCAACAGGTATTCTCTGACACTTCAGTTCTTTGACTGAGGACAAAGTCTGACATCAGTTCTTCACTTGTGATGAAGTATTTTCACTCTGTGCTCTTAAGTATGACACCTAAGGGTTAATAACTTCTTAGCTAGCTTTTGCATGTTGCACAGAATCCCTCAGGTTTCCTTAATTAAGGTAAAACATTAAGGCATTTACTGCACTGAAAGAGACATAACAGCGGTAAAATTCTGCAGTTTACATGGTAACTGTTTGTTTACACTGGCGCTTGTGATACCTTAAGTCTTTTATGCAACAATCTAACTAACATTAAGGAATTCCTTAAGTATAGGACGAAGATAAGGGGGAGACCTTAGATACTTAAGTCAACGTTTCAAGGAAACCTTAAGAAAACGACGTGCTTTGTACAACTGATTTTACCTTAAGAAAACCTTAATTTGGACTTTAAAGAAAATCTTAACTTAAGATGTTTTGTTTGATAATTTAACTAACATTAAGGGATTCCTTATGTAAAAGACAAAGATAAGGAAGAACCTTACATACTTAAGTGAACATTGTCGGGAAACCGAGCAGAAGAGACAAGTTTTGTACAACCGATAGGGGTGTAACGGTACACAAAAATCTCGGTTCGGTACGTACCTCGGTACACAAGTCACGGTTCGTTTTTTTCGGTACAGTAATGAAAAAAATAGACAACTATTAAATATCTTTTACTTATTGGTAACCTTATTAAAACATACCACCACAGCAGTTAACTCTTTTTACACAATTTTTGAATGAAACAAATATGTATAAAATCCTGCTTTTTCACATTGTTTGAATGAAAATAGAAATATAAAAGTGAAAAATAAAATCCTGCTGTTTTTTTAACACATTTTTTGAATGAAAAAT